TTTTTAATCCAGTTTGAGAAGAAAGACAATTTTAAGAACTTCCCACATGGATTTCTTACCTCCCCTTCCTATCTCCACCCCCTACTCTGAAATATCCTGAAGAAAGAAAATAGAGGCCCCCGGGTGGAAGTTACAAACTTCCAGGAGCTATGTTCTGACTTCTGCCTTTACAGAATGCTTGAAGCAAGTAAAAGTGAAACTTGCACACCAGAGACCTGTTCTGTCTCTTCCTCTAGCTCAGCAAAGGTATAAGCAGTACCAATGTGAACAGCTAACAAAACCAAAAACTCCAAAACTGAACATACCACAATAACCTCGGAAGTCCCTTGACATGTAAACATCCTTTAAGCACCCTGACATAGGTGATCTGAATGCAGATTTTATACACCATCCAGAGCAACCACAATAAACTAACAAGTGGCGTCACCTAATCCATCACGCCAGAAATTCCCGCCCCAAGTCTGACAGTTTCACAAGTTCCCTACTGGGAAAAGTTTTGTCCACTGAGCTTTCATATCCTTTCCCTAAGTTAGCTCCTATAACACACTATATGAATTTTAAAATCTGTCCTTAAAGAAGCTGTATTTCTCTATTCACAGAGTATTAAAAAGACTTCATCTCATCCCAAGATCTGTATCGCCCAATCACAGGCAAAAGAAATTTTTAGTGCAGGTCTTGAACCTATGCAAGGTCAAGGAATTTAGCCTTTCATCTGCCCAGGCTGCTGGTGTCAACACAAAAGCACTCTCCTTACACCTGCAGAGATGAAAAAGTACACAGGTTTCCTCACTTCCAAATAAAAAATAATTTTAAAAAATCCTTACAGGAACAAAAAGCGTATGTGAAACAGGAAAGTTAGTTAATTTTCCCTTCAAAGTCATGTTATGAGCACTGCTCAGAATCCAACAGAACAGAAAGCATATTAAAAAAAAAAGGATATAATTTCTTGGCTGAACATTCTGGGTGAGACCTCCAGAACACCTCTGCCTCTTTAACTTAGAGACAGGGAAAAGCTTCAGCAATAGGACTTCCACAGTGAAATACAGTTCTCAGTGTACTCAGCTTCTCTGGCAGGATGCATCAGTGACCTTCACTAAAAAAAAAAGCAAATTCAAGATTTCCACAAAGACCTTGGCTAGACTTGGATCTGAAAGTCAAGTGATCAACATGGAATTGCTCACAAACTACCACTTCCCCAGTACTTTTTCCATTTAGCTTACAGTGTCCTCTTCTCCTTCAGAATCTCCTTGTAAAGTAACCTTGGTCGTAGGGAGGCTGCTGCCCCCAAACACTCTCAAAGTGCAAAAGATCACCATACATTAACACTGATGTCTTCTAAATGATGCCTTAAGGTCCATCTGGTTTTTTGATTTTTCTAATTTTTATAAGCTTTATAAGTAGTTATATAGTAGAAGTAGATTTAGAAGCAGCAGCATTTCATTCCTTTACCCTTAGCACAGAAACTCTCCAACACTATTACCCCATTCTATGCTCCTCATATCAATTCTACCCCCTGAATTCCAGTAGAAATGTTTAGTGTATTTAAGATAGGCCTATTCTGTTTAGAGAACACTTGTACCTTGGCCTAAACTGCAGAGTACAGTCAAACTCTGGGTAACTATGTGCCCCCTGTACCCTGAAGAAGATGAAGATTGATGAAGAGAGGGTCTCAGAGACCCTAGCCCCAATTTCCAAGGGATGTGACCGAGGGTAGATCAGGGCAAAAGCCATGGGGTGGAAACATCTGGGATTGGACAGACAATATCATAAATTGTAACATCTGTACAGAGGGACCTGTGCCCACGTCTTGGAATCTTATGCCCAGGCACAAATTAAAACCCTTTCCTTATATCACCTTTGAAACTAAATTGTCTCGGAGTTTTTTTCTCCCTGAATTTTCTTTTAGGCATCAAAAGGAGAAGAAATTAAAATTATGGTGCCATGTGATAACTGACAATTTGATACAGAAATGGCTATAGAATGGATACAGAAAGAGTAAAGCTCCATACCAGGAAGTGAAGTAGTTTTGTCCAGCATAACAAGTACACCAGATCTTGCCTCTCACTTTAACTGCCAATATGAAATGGCAGGAGAGAAAATATGCAGCAAGAAAGACTTGGAAGAGGATGCAAGATCTTTGAAGCTGAAAGCACCTTGCAAACAACATCATCTTGGAACAAAGAACTAACCAGACTGAAATGTGACAATCACAATTCATAGAGACAAAAAGCATGCATAAAAAGAATCCCCAAAAGAATAAAAGGACAAAGAAAGGCATTCCAGCTCAAGTACTCAGAGAAATAAAACATGTTTTATATGTCATGGTAGTGACATGTCACACATTGTTTTCCAAATGTTCAAACAGTATTTTTGGCCTGGTAGCCTTTAAACACACACTGAGGAAAGCAAGAAAATTTATTCAAAGGTCCTAAAATGACAGCAATATACTTTTTTAAAGCTGTCAGTCTGCATCTATTGTGTGACTACAGGAGGATCCAAACAACATGGTTTCAAAAAAGGAGCTTTGTTGGTGATATTCTGCTGCACCTTCCAGGCACGTGTGACAAAAGGCAGTAGTCTCCATAGCTTCTACTTCTCTTTCTCCTCCATGATGATGCAATAATGAAAGACTGGTACACCAGCTTACATTTGCTTCTTAACTAAAATTCTGGAAGCTATGACCTGCAGCTGCTTCTTTTCCCAGGAAGGCATACCAGTAGCTGATCAGGATCTCTCCTCAGCACTTAATAGAAGAAACATCACCAGATCTAGAGCCCACTACATTTTCCACACAAAATGCCATGTCAAATTTTGCCCCTTGCAGACAGAAGTGAGCAAGGAAGTAGATCATTAGAAGTGTTTATTACAGTATCAAGTCAGAATTGTGATGTTCTAGATTAAAAGCAAAGCAATTTTAAATTGCCTACTATATGAGAGAGATTAAGGTAGGCTGGACAAAGTAACCCAAGAGAAGCCTAATAGTGCACAATCTTTCATTAAACATAGCTGCTAGTGAGGGAGTAGTCAGAAATCTGGCAGAGTTAAAAAAATAATGAAACTCTTCCAAGAACAAAACACAGGTAAGAAAGTTGGCTTATCAGTGTATGAGTTATAAGTATTAAAGACCATTTTACAAAGTTACTTACAAATAATAACAGATTTTAAGAAAGAGCAAAGTTTGCAATGTATTCTAAAGTTGCTATCTAAAAATTATTTCTCCTGAATGTTTAGGGTGGTTCATGTACATTTTTCAAGTGTATTTTATCCTTGATCAGTAAATAAGCACATAGAGCAAATTAGCATCAAGAGAGAGCAATTTTCCATGTCATAACCTCCCCTCCAAACTCATGAAGTGTAAAAAAGTGACAATGAATTTAATAATTTTATGTGATAAATGACAAATGTTATCTGAAAGACTACAACAAACTAACTCCAAAATGCTATCACAGAAATGTCAGTAGTAAGCTCATTGGGGAGAACTTTATTAGCATCTCCTTAGGATACCCATGACAAACTGCATTTTTGTTGGGATTTTTTGGGAGTGGAGGGGTGTTGTTTTGGATTTTGTTTGTTTGTCTTTATCTCCAAAGAACACCTTAGCAGAAGCTATCAGCTTTGACAGAACACCAAAATTCTGGCACTGAACCATAAATTGACCATTACCATAAAAAGAACTGCTAAACGAGAAGCTATGTGCTCAGTATAAAACTAATTTCATGCTTTCAAAAGCACACAGTGGCTTCTAGCAAGATAGTGGCCCTGGGACTTGCAAAGACAGATTGGCTAATACAAATGGTGTGTGCTCCTGATGCAGTCTGCTTAGCCAAGCTTTACATGTACTGGCAGTAAATGGAAATTCTCGAATCTTCTGTCAAACAAATACACACTTATCTATAACTTTGGAGCTGAAAGCTATAAAACAGCTGCCTCATAAATATATTTAGCAGGAAAAAGCATGAGCTGTCCTAGTTCCTCATAAAAAAAAACCCAAAAAAACCCACAGCAGTCTTTACATAGTAAGCACAGACATTTCTACAGCAAGAAAGAAAAACATTTAAATAATATTTTTCAACATTTTTCCCTGTTTTATTTAAAAAAAATTACTGTCAGCATACGCAAATATAATCATAGCAGGTCTCACCTCACAAACTAAACATATTAGCAGAACAGCAATGCTTAATAAGTAACTCAGCTGAACTAATTTTTTGTGTTCTGCTATAGGTGAAATTCTCAATAAAAAAACCTTTTTTTAAACACATAGGTACAAAGTCTGTTTAGTTTATGATAATGCTTCTTTCAAGCTTAAAGATTTACTACTAGAACTTCACGGACTACCTTTAACACACTATCTGTTCCCTTAAATAAAACTTGCTGCACTAAATCTCAAATTTAACTGGTTAGGGAGAAGCGACACTAATTTTATACCCCTCTCAAAGCAAGCTGTCAGTGCAAATGAATTACTGGAAGCTATCCTGGGCATGACAGGTCATAACTTTTAATATTAACAATGATAGACATATCTAAGACGTCAAATCCAGCATACAATTTATTTCATTCTGTACTTAGTTTATCTGGAGAATCCGACAGCTCTTGTGTTTCACACATCATTGTAACTACACTTTGAGAATTAACAAGCCAGAATGCAAGTTATGGTAAGAGATATTTAGTCACACTGCTAATAAGCTTCTTTTTACAACAATAACACAGCATCACTGACATTCAAAAAAAATTTAAAATGCATAGGAAGTCACCTACTGGAAAGATGCCCTCTGCAAACAGCAAGCAAGGAAAGGGAGCTTGCCACATATTTAGTTACTTTTAATACTGAAATAAGAAGAAAAGAAAAAGATGCATTATATGCATTGCCATTTTTGTTACCCTTTCCACTGGAATAACTAAAGCAGAAATGACATGCACACAGAAATAATGTCAAACATGTATCACTTAATGTCGTAGCACAAAGCAATTCAGTGAAGTTTAATAATAAAAAAGAGACTCACCTCTACTGGGAAGTCCACTCCACATTATGGCAATACTATTTATGCAGGTTAAATAGCAACCAAGTTACATAAACAAAACTTCCAATATGTGACCAATATGATCTACGGTGCTACAGAGTCTTGGCTCCAGCCCTGATCATCTGTGTGACAGTACACTGTTATACCAGTGCAGCCTCAAACCTTCCCAGATGCCGGCTTATTGCATTGCTCATTGAAAATCCTTCACACGCTGGCAACATTTTAGGGAAGGACAAGCACGCTCTGAGTCATTTGTAAAGAAAGCAAAGCAATTTCAGTTCTGTATCTTCATGCGTACCGAAACACAGAGCACTGTCAAAGTAGAAGTCTGCGTGAATTTATGCTGAGAATCAGGCAACCCAAGCCGTCATTATCAATGCATGGAATCAGCTACAGTGATCAAATTCAAACAAACCACAAAAAAATAAAAGAATATGATTATGAAAGGCTCTACGGATTCAGCTCCAAACCACACAGAATGAGGAATCATCTATCTAGACTGTGTAAATGTTAAAAATAGCTCTGTCTTTCCTACAATGAGCACAAGACAGAGGAGAATCAGCAGCCTGTATTGTGATGAGGTTCATGATTAGGAAAAAAAATTCAGCAGTAAAAATTAATTACTTCTTACAGCTTTTTAAAATAAGATTAATTCACAGTTATGCAAATGAACAAATAAGTACTTTTTAACCACATAACAGACAAACTCTATTCTACATTAAAAAATAGGATATCTATTAAAAAGAAGAATAAATATTTGGATGAAAAAATTCTGAATACTGACCCAGCTAAGACCTGTACGGTCTATCAGATTAAGTACCTGCACAAAAAAAAAACAAAAACAAACAAAAAACCAACCAAACAAACAAAACCAACAACAAAAAATAGCAAAAAAATCAAAACAAAAAAAAACCACTAAAAGCATGACATTACATGAAGAAATGCCTTTGTCTTTAAAAAAAACCAGTAATTTTTTATTACTTAGTATGAAAAATGTCCATGGCTTATTAAATTCATGCTCTTCCTACTCCCACATAGACTTCTCACTGTGTAAATCTTTTTGTCTTTTCAGGTACTTCATAGGCTTTCTTTCCCAAGAAAAGGTAAGAGGACACGTGTCACAGTGCATACTCACACGGAGAGACACGCAGTATAAGAATCAGATGTAATCATAACTAGGTTTAGTTTTTAAAAGAAATGGAAAAACACAGGAATTTTGTATTATAATACCCATACAGTTATCCAAATATACTGCTGTGTCATGAGACAACTATGAAAGAAATTTTGACAGGATCTGATCCCAGATGGGGAAACTCACAATTCAGAGACAGTATCAGTTTTTCCTTTTGTGAGATAAAAATAATAAACAAATCTGACTTAATTATTTTAATTTTTCAGTAGTTTTAACATAGAAATCATGGTTACAAATGCACATGAATAAAAAAGTCTGCATTTATAGATCCATTTTCATCTCAGCTGTCTACCTACACCCATAAACTGTGGATCACATCCTTCCATGAGACAGTGAAGAAATCCTTGCAGCAACATGAACTCAACTGATTTAAGAAGCTCTCCAGGCCATTTCCCAAACTGTTTAAATGACAAGGGAGACGCTCCAACTGGAGCAGAAGTTGTATCATTACCACTCCTGCGGCCATTCTCAGCTTGAAACCATGGCTGGTGAACAGCTGTATTTTTGGTCCTAAACTCTAGAACATCTGATTATCTGATGTCTTAAATGTGGGTTTTTTACCACAGCATAACTGCCCTTAAAGTGAGATTAAACTCTCCAGGAAGGAATTTTGCTACAAGAATATTTATGCAAAGTAGTGGCAAAGAATGCCAAATGTATTAGCCAATTTTATTTTGAAATCCTTTCACACTTCACCCAAAGCACCACCCCCATAAACAACTTTTTTTCCATACTATTTATATACTGTTTGTTTGCTTACAAATGTCATTCATGTGCTCTCCACCCAGTGGAGGCTACAAATGAATAATTGGTTTGATAGCCTTTACCAAATTCAAAAAAGTTAGGGTTTTCTATTTGCCATTAGGGAATTTTTGAATGTTTTGCTCTAATGCAACTTACCAATTACTTAAAAACAACCAACCTCAGTGAAACTGTAATTTTCCCATCTTTTTTCCTGAAGACTACCAGTGAGTGCACAAATCATCTACTTACTATTTTTATTAATTTTACCATTACTTTCTCAGTGCAGCTACTCAAACGCAGAACCAAGTATTATGGATACAGTGTGTAATAACTAACAAATAAGAAAACAACTTTAATATCAGCTCTGGCCCTTGATATTAACTCTCATCATCAACATTTTGTAAGGAGTACCAAGCACATATAATAAATCCCCTTAATTTCAGAGCAGCTAATAATGATCCTGATGGGTCCCTTTTGAACTCAGCATACTCTATGATTCTATCATTACTTCTGTGAAAGAAAAATAGCATTCACTTATAAATACATTTCATATTGTAAGAAAAATGTTAACTTATGTAGCATCACCTATTTCTTATGTAAAAGGGGGAAGAGACTCAAATGACACAAAGAATGTGGTACAATCTACTAAATCCAATCTTGTTCAACAGACCACTGAATAAGAAAAGAAGTCAACATACCCTGTAGAGAGAAATGAAATACTAATAGTTTCTCAATAGCCCACTAAGCTAAGTTGCATTCCACGCACATAACTCTTTTTGTTATCATTGGTATTATATTGGAGAAAGTAACAGTTTTGCTTTTTAGCATGAGTCTAATCTTTTACAAAAGAAAAATGGATTTTACTTAGAGTAGAATAGCAAAGTGTGGAGCAACCTCCCTCTCCAGGGAGTAAAGAGAGGGGAAGTGATGAGGACTAGTTCCACTTTGTGCCCTCACAACAGTGCCTTGAAACTGCTTTCCAAAAGGTTGGGCTGTAGGCAGCAGACATGGAGGGCAGAACAAGTGCTGACCTACAAGCCTAAGGTTTTGGCATAACACAAAAAAAAAAGAGTAAGATCACAGTGCTTTCTACTATCCTTCTTCTCCTCTTCTCTACAGACTTGTGCACTAATTCCATAGCTATGAATGCACGCATTTAATAGGACTCAGCTCACAAACGTTTTCAAGATACTTTTGATTGCCGCTTACCCTCTCTCTGAGCACGTGGTAGAATAATTCATAAAGATCCGCAATAAAAATCAGATTATTCTTGTTCTTGTTTTAGATTAATGAAAGATAAACATTGAGAAGGAATTGAGGACCTAGATCAAACTAAGAAAAAATTCTGTTCTCCATCACATTGGCACAAAGCAGTCTTAGATGACAACTAAGCTACCTGTCAGAAAGCTAGTCTTGGATCAGTTAAGGATTCAAATCTATATACAAAGACCTGCATTTAGGATTAGATTCTTCTTTCAATAACCAGGAAAAAGCTCCACTGAAATCAGAACAATGCACTGCAGTTTCATTCTGTTATGACCACCCATCATTTAATCCTGCACTGACCTAGTCATCTGGCAAGCTAATTTCTTTTACAGTTTCATTTTAAAAAAAGTCTTCCTTGTACGCACGAGGCCAAAAGTGGGGATGTAGATTTAAAGCTATCTGGAATATTTTCAGTATAATTTCTCAACATCTACCAACAGTCATTTTTACCTTTTGGCTGAAGACACTATTCACACTTTCTATCTCTATATATTTAATTTGGAAAGCTAATATGCAAGTTAGCTATACAGTCCATGGATCCTATGAAATATAATTCTGAGCTATCAATTTTAAGTCTCCCTGCCTCTATTGACTTGCTAGGGTGCCTAGACTTCCAAATGGTATTATTATTATTATATGGCATTGCACAGGGAGGCAAAGAAGTTCTAATTTCTATTGCCAAAATGGAAAGAAATCCTGCCTTCTCTGTTCTCCCTCATTCTCCTCCCATGCCCAAGACTACTGTTTTACCTTCTCCATTCCACTACCAGGCCCTTTTTGAGACCTGATTTAATTCACAAACACAACCGAAGTCTAGTCATTTATTTATTTATTTGTTTGTTTGTTTGTTTGGCTATATTAACAAATCTCTGGCTGTCATTGCTTTGAACTAGATCACACAACTGTGTGTTTATTATCTCCCAGGAAATCATCCTGCACTTATTTCCTCAGTACTGCAGGGTTAACACATTAACTTGTAGGACTGTTCCCTACAAAGAATGGTATTGGGTACTGCATTTCCAAAACTGTCCTGCAAGGTCAGAGATTGCAAGAGCAAAAACACAGAGCTGTTACCACAATGCACTGACATCCCAATTACACCTCCAGCCAAACCTCCAGCAAGACCTTCACACTGGCATTAAAGGAGTGCCACCTGCGCCCTAAAGCACATCTGGTCTTTAAAATAGCCCAGGACCAAGGAAAAAGTGATTCTGCTGTGCCCACTTGTAAATTTGGACACCTTATGCAGCAAAAATGAAACTACCCGTTTCCAGGATCTGTAAAATTTGGACTTCAATAGGTTATTTCTAGTCCACTTAAAACTACACCAACCATTCCCATGTTAGCACGGGGGTAAAGGAGAGACAATCAGGAGATTCACCAGGAGATATCAGGGAACAAGCAAAGAGAATTCGTGGAGCAAAATCGGTGTCACCTTCAAAGGAGAACTGGGAGGAATAAAACGAAGTCATCCAGAAAACTGCCCACATATATTTGCATATATCAGCAAACCACTCGCAGTTTTATCCCTATCAATAGCTCGGTTAACAAACGAGGCTCAAGTGAGCCCCAGAGGCAGCAGCCGAGGCTCGTCGCTCCATGGCCCGGGCTGCAGCACCATCTCGTGGAAGCCTTGCGATCCCGCACTCCCGCTGCCTTCCCAGCCTCCAAAATATTGCCTCCCTCCTGTCTTCATTTCCTGAACAATTAATTCATTAGCTGTCTCTCAGAAAAAGGGAAGCGAGCAGTCTTGATTTAGCAATTAGCCAAGTTCGTACCACATTCTCCAAAGTGGTTCCGGCCCCTCTGAGGAGCGGATACTTGAGCCCTTGTTTTTAGCTGTGGCAGGTGGGCTTTCAGGTACCCCACACAGCTGTGACCTGCTCCACGAGATTGCCACTTCAGGCTCCAGCAAGACCTGCTGATGAAAAGTTTTAAACAAGCTCACTCCAAAATACATTTCCCCAAGGCTGCAGGAAACTATCCTTTATTTTCCTTTTTCCTTATAGGAAATAACTGAAAAAAATTACCAATTTAAGCTGCAAAAGCAAACACACATTCTCTCTTACATTCCTTTTTTTTCTGGCAACAGCCCATCCATACATCACTTATGCCTGTCACAAGGGTAGGGATGATCCCTGGAAATGGCATTGCTGACAAACTTCAACCTGAGCTGCAATAAGACATGATGCATATGACTGGTAATGAACAAACGCTAACATAAGCAATAGTGAAGGCTTTAACACCATCTGCAACATACTGTCTAAGTAGAATACTCTTTTTC